GTAGCTACGTGTTTCCTCTGTGCCATTTTCAGGGTTCTGCCATGATTCAGACTTAGAGTTCCTCTGTGTCTCCATCACTTGCTTCCTGCTTCTCTACAAACTGGCAAAGCTTCCTCTTACGGTGCCCCATGCTTGGGTTTCTGCCTCAGTCGGGACAATGCAGCAAGCAACCTTCCATTCTGCTGTCCTGCCACGCCTTACTAAAGATGGATGAAATTCCTTCATATAAAATAAATGTGCATGAACAAAAGAGTTGTATAATCAGTTACAATACTGTTTTGAAATAAGTTGGAGACATATAGTGTTGTTAATTGATTTTGTTTTAAACATTTGACTGCAGGAGAATATAAAAATTATTTTTAATACTAAAAATAATCCTCATGTCTTTGAAACATTTTTTCTTTTTATGTCATAACAAGAGTTCTGTGTAGACATTATGCATTTTGTCTTCCTGAAAAAGTATTTTAGAGACCCTTAAACTGGAAGGAAAAGTGATGCATGGCCTTCATGAACTTGGAATCAAAGAGGAGATCCTGAGTAAATTTATGAGGTTGCATATACATCCTACAGATAACAGTTATGCACTAGATATTCGTCACTCTTCAATAATAGTAAGTAATTAAACATTTATTTAAATATTGCATACTTGATAATGCTATGTGTGAGACAATCTATCTTTTTTGGTAGTGTAATTGAAATACTAGGCATAAGACCATATATCGATAAGCAGTTTAAAATATTTTGCAGGATGATAGCTCTTCAATATATTTTAGGTGTAATTTTCTCTAGCTTGTACTTTATTAAAATTTTAAGATGTAAGATGTTTAAAAGAAAAGAGGAATGTATCTAAGAGTAGTTGCACACTCATAACTATAGAATTTGACTTTACAGTAATTAGTCTAGCTACGTAATATCTTTGTATTATGCAAGACTGCTCAATGTACTTTACAAGTATCATAAGTGAATTGTGGACAACTCAAGTATTTTGTTTCTAATTGTCCAATGGCTCTGCTTTTTTCCCTTCCTCAACATTTTTACAGTTTTCATTACAAAGGTTATATGCCAGTAGAAAAGGCATTAAAATACTAATTTTCTTCACCTGAAAGAAACATATTTCACTACGTCAAACTATTTGTTTGACAAGTATAGACAGGCTTGCACAGAAAACAGTAGAAGAACAAATTGGGCATATATTAATTAGTTCTCTAAAGTGCTGCTGTGGGTTATAGATAAATACTGTATTGGTCTTGCAAGGTGTTTATGCTGTGTTACACTCATATTTGTGTGATATGTTGTTATGACCTTCGTATTGTGAAAGTAGTTCCACACTTGAAAGAATGGTTTTATTCACATCCTAATACAGGGTATAAATGGTCTTTTTTGCTTTTCCATCCATTATTAGTTTTCTTATGTACTGCAAATAAAAACCACAAACACTTGTATTGAAAGAAAAACACTATTAATTTTAGAAGCTCTTTTCTGTTACTATTTCAAAAAGAAGATAAAACATTTTACTCTTTCCATGTGTTTAAAAATATTTTATTTATGCATACATATTTTACTCAAAGTTTAATGTGTGTTTTTTAAATTGATGCCTTTTTCTTTTAGTGGGTTAATAACATAGAACAAGATCACAGCTATAGCACGTGGCCTGCAAGCTATCAGGAACTGCTAAAACCCTCATTTCCTGGAGTTATACAGCAGATTAGACGCAATTTATATAATTTGGTAAGTTTGGAGAACTTAATTTTTTTGCATGGTGTATGTATTAATATCTGGACAGGCAATTTATTGAAAAATACACATGGTGTATTCTATCGTTAAGATAGGTTAGAATTTCATGTTTTCTATGTGGGTCCACTAATAGTAGTAAAAATATTTTTGTGTAGTGAGTCATATGTAATTATTAGTCTGATTTCCAGAAGTGAACTTGGGCACAGTTTTGTCAGGAGCTTTTCTGTTCCTTTCCATGCTACATATAGGTAATTCACTACTATCAATAAATTTTCTTCATAGTACACTACTTGAGAGAGGGTAATGATAACTGTCCTTGTTTTAGAGGTGGTGAACTGAGGTATAAAAAAATGTAAGTTGTAAAGCATATTAATTATGAAAGTCTTGTAGCCTAATTTTTCCTCTGTACGTAGCATTCTGTGTCACCTAGTAAATTAAGTAAACAGCTATTGCTGATTTAAATGGAAATTTAAAGTAGAAAAGGTAATTGTATGAATCATGGAATTATAGAATGGTTTGGGTTGGAAGGGACTTGGAAAGGTCATCTAGTTCAACCCCCCTGCAGTGAGCAGGGACATCTTCAGCTAGATCAGGTTGCTCAGAACCCCATCCAACTTGACCTGGAATGTTTCCAGGGATGAGGCATCTACCACCTCTCTGGGCTGTCTGTTCCCCTGTGACACCTGTGGAATCTCACCACCCTCATTCCTTGATAGCAAATCTAAATCTACCTTCCCTTAATTTAAAGCTGTTATCTTTTGTTGTGTCACTACAAGTCACTGCTGTGTCACTACTACTAGTAAAAAGCCTCTCTCCATCTTTTTTATAAGCCCCCTTTAAGTACTGGAAGGCTGCAATAAGGTCTCCCCGGAGCCTTCTCTTCTCCAGGCTGAACAGTCCCAACTCTCTCAGCCTGTCCTCACAAGAGAGGTGTTCCATCCCTCTGAGCATTTTTGTGGCCCTCCTCTGGCCCCGCTCCAACAGGTCCATGTCTTTCCTGTGCTGAGGGCTCCAGAGCTGGACACAGGACTCCAGCTGGGGTCTCACACCAGAGCAGAGTAGAGGGGAAGAATCACCCCCCTTGACCTGCTGCCTACTCTTCTTTGGATGCAGCCTAGGATCCGGTTGGCCTTCTGGGCTGCGAGCTCACGTTGCCGGCTCACGTCCAGCTTCTCATCCACGAGTATCCCCACATCCTTCTCGGCTGGACTGCTCTCCATCCCTTCATTCCCCAGCCTGTACTGATACCGGGGGTTGCCCTGGCCTGGGTGCAGGACCCTGCAGTTGGCCTTGTTGAACCTCATGAGGTTCACACAGGCCCATTCCTTGAGTTTGTCCAGGTCCCTCTGGATGGCATCCCATCCCTCAGGCATGTTAGCTGCACCACTCAGGTTGGTGTCATCTGCAAACTTGCTGAGGGTGCACTCGATCCCACTATGTCGTTGATGAAGATAATAAAGACAACTGGTCCCAATACAGACCCCTGAGGGACACCACTCACCGCCATGGACATTAAGCCATTGACCACTACCCTCTGGATGCGACCATCCGACCAATTCCTCATCCAGTCAACAGTGCATCCATCAAATCCATACCTCTCCAATTTAGAGAGAAAGTTCTTATGGGGAACCATGTCCAAGGCTTAACAGAATTCCTGATAGACATCATCAGTAGCTTTTCCCTTTTCCACTGATGTAGTCACTCTAAGTGACATGATGCTCAGTATATAAAAAGACAATCAAAATGCAAGTGATATGTAATAAAAATATGTTTATAACAAAGCATAAGATGTGTGTAACGAAGTAGATTGAGTTATTTATTCAAAGTTAAATATTGTCATAGTTGTATATAACAACTGTATTATAGAAATCTACAACTTATCATTTAACTATAATCTGAGGGCAAGGGAGTGTTAAAAATTTTTGAAATTACTCTGCTGCATTTCAGCTACTCTAGCAAAATCAATACAAAGCTGAATAAATAGGGTACCAATGTCATATTTATATCTGCATAAGGATGATCTACCTATACAGACAGATCCCAGTTTTAGATTCTGTGTATGCCTGAAAGATCTGATTTTACACTTCAAGCTACAATAAGTGAAAAAGTGAGTACAAAAATATGTGAGACAGGAAGGAAGAATTCTTTTCCAATGCTTCATTTTTTAGTTCAAGTTTTAAGTCAATATATTCTGTTTATTTATTTTAGTTTGATTTTCATAACAGAAGAGAGTTAGTTGAAAGAAGTAATAGAAAAGTCAACATTAGATCCTTTTTAATTAAATATCAAGTTCTTTAATAAAAACAAAGTATTGGCACAGGGCCTTTCGAAGGAGAGTAGTGATATCACTTGGTTTGAAGTTCAATAAAGGTTAAATCCTGTTTTCAGTATTTGGTCCAAATTCATTAGTTCTGAAGTTATTGTCATTTATACTCTTAAAGTTTTCTTACAATGAATGTTCTAGGGAATTGAAAACAGTTGAGGTGCACAGCTCCTTTGGAAATTTCTGTTCTTATCTTAGATTTTATGTTTGGAAAAAATAAAAACAGACATCACAAATAAAAACAGACATCACGAATAAATATTGGCTGTATAATATGTTTTCTCTTCTTAGGTACTTTTTGTTGATCCTGTCCAAGAAGATACAGGTGCTTATATGAAACTGGCAGAATTATTCTATCATCATAATGTACCACTTCGGTAAGGAAAACTGAAAGTCTTGAAGAAAAGACTTAAAAGAAAGTTGCTTTCCTTTTTTCTTCGTCGTCTTCTATTCTGCTAGTCAAAGATGTGAATTCAAATGAAGTCCAATGCAACAACATTCTCATAAGCCACATTGGTTACCCACTTGTGATAAGCTTACTCAGGTATTAAGTATTCTTAAGCAAAGAGGTTGCAAGTGACAACATACCTGAGTGTGTGGAAAATGAACTGCAAAAGTCTGATAAAAAATTATCTTGTCAAATAGTCCCACCGGATGCCCATGTGAAGTTGCATTCTAAGCAAAATACTCTGTAAGTAAAACGTGAAAAGAGGGCATTTTTTAATTTAGTTCTTTCAATTAAGGTTGCTTTACCTATTTTGTTTTTCTATAAATACTTAAAGACCAAAGTGATATTATCCTTGCCAAGTTTTGAATTTCTAAAAATTAGTTGTCTGAGTCTGAACTAGTCATCAGTTGTGAGAAAAAGACACTGCTGAGGAAGAATGTGGTTGACCTGAGATGCCTACTTTAAGAAAAAATTAATTGTTCTCAGAAGTGCCTGTTTATTTCCACAGCTTATAAAAAAAGAGAAGTGTGTCCAAACTAGATCCAAGGTTCAGCAAGATGAACTCCATGTTATATATTTTAAATCTTCCTGTGAAATGGCTTTTTGTTTCCTCAATAAATTGCAGGGTTTTAATTTTCTTTTAAAATCTTACTAGTTCTGATCATTGTTTTGTTTTTCTTTTTTTTTTATCATTCAATGACAAAAAAGTAATGGAGGACAGATATTAGTTATCCATGCGTTTTGTCTCTGTTGTCACTACACAGGAGACAATACTGCTTCAGTCATTGAAGAGGATATAGCCTAAAACCTAATTTGCCTTTTCTGATACATAACAGCATAAGAGCAGCGAAACTTGGTCGGACTCAAGGTCCTTTTAGGTCAGTCTGTCTGCAACAAGCCACAAGAGGCTGCCTAGGTATGATAAAAAGAACAGGGCAACCAGGTTGCCTGAAAATACCTGAGTATTTTCCTGGCCTTGATGCATTTGGAGATTAAAGAATTCCAGACCTGGATGTAGTTTCTAAATATTAAGCAACCCTCAATGGGTCTCTCTTCTTAAACTTTTCTGTTTTCCCCCTTGAATTCATATAAGCTTTTAGCACCCACAGTATCCTTTTCCAGGTGTTTTCACAGTTGAACTACATGGTGTATGAAGAACTGCTTTGTTTTTAGCCAGACTTTGAATAGTGTTGTTTACTGTCCCAGTAGCTCTTATAATAGGGAGAGAGACTGAGCAGTCTCTCCCACTTCCCTAGATGCCGGTCATGATTTTATAAAGCTCTGTCATATTCGACCACAGTCATTTCTTTCCCTAGGTTACTAGTTATTCATTACCCAGAAACTGTTCCAAAGGTGGTTTTGTTTTCTGAGTTGTCTTTCTCTGAACTTTCTTAGTTTTAATATAACTTCTCTGAGATGAAAGCAACAGCTGTGTACACAGTATCCAAGATGCGGACAAGCCATGGGGTCTCTACTGTCGTATAATATTTTGCTTTGCTGACTCTTCCTACAGCACCCAGATGACACAAGACTTCAGGAAAATTTATTTACAATAAAGAGAGGTGTAAAAAATGGGAGCAGCAGTTAATTGTAGAACATGGTGCATCTTTATGCATTAATTACTATTCATATCTTTTTAGAAAACTTGCTGTATTTCTTACCTCCTTCTGTCCTTTGATCTGATGTATACCTGATTATGTCCTGAACATCTGTCTAAACAATTGTATACTGATATGACAGATTTCATGTTAATAGTTTTAGAATATCTAATGTGAAGTGGCTATCCAAATGAAAACCTGACTTCCTAAATCAGCTCATTGAATTATACCTTGTAAATACGGAGGTTTTCTGAAACATGGGCCCAGCATTGCAGATTGTCATGTTGTTGTAGTAGCTGTCATGTGTCATGAGATCAGTAGCGCTCTCATGTTCTTGTAGCAGCTATGAAGGAGCTGTATGCTTTGTGGAAATCTTTGCAAGATGCACGGTGTTATGTGTAGCAGAAGCCAGCTTTGAGTCTCTGTGATACTCCTATAGAAAAACTGTAATTCCCTTGTTCTGTCTTACAATTTGCCTCTTTGATAGCTGGCATAATTTTTGATCTTTCAACCAACTGCTGTATATCGAACATTATCAAGTGCTGTCATATGTATAGCCAGGGATAGGCAGCATCTTATACAGCTGTATTTCATAGATGTGATTGTGTAAGCCAGTTAGCACATTATTAAGTGGTTTTGGTTGCGGTTTAGCCGTGGCAGACATTCCTACCTGTAGTTTTGGTGAAAAGTAAAGGCAGAGGAGAACAAAGTTGAATAGCTGCTTCCATAGGGATTTTTCATGAAGCAGCTTTTTTGTGCAGTCATTTTTGTCTTGGGATAAGTGACATCTAATGGTAGAGGATTTTGCTGCAGACCTAGTATGAATAGCTGTGGTGGGTTGACCCTGGCTGGACACCAGATGCCCACCAAAGCCGCTCTGTCACTGCCCTTCCCAGCTGGACAAGGCAGAGAGAATGTAACGAGAAGCTTGTGGGTCAAGGACAGGGTGAGGTCATTCACCAATTACTGTCATAGGCAAAACAGGCTCAACTTGGGGAAATTAG